CCTGACATGGTTTCAGTCCTATTTGAGCAATAGATGTTTTTCAGTTAATTATAATAATAAAATCTCAGGTAAAAAACATCTTCCTTGGGGGGGTTCCGCAAGGCTCTATCCTTTCTCCTATACTTTTTTCTTTATACTTGCTCCCTCTGGGCAGCATTTTTAGAAAGTATGGTGTATCATTTCATTGTTATGCCGATGACACGCAAATGTATCTACCAATCAGACATTCCACAAATTAATTTGAGTCATTTCTAGAGTGTTTAAAGGACATAAAAAATTGGTTGTCGAACATTTTCTTAATGCTAAATGAGGAAAAAACAGAGGTCATTGTTTTTAGCCACACAAATAACTCCACAAAAAATTTATTAGATGCGAGCCCTCTGGCACCGTATTTTAAAAAAAAAACAGTAAGAGATTTAGGCTTCCTAATTGATAATAACCTAAAATTAGATAAGCAAATTAACTCAGTGGTTCGGGCTGGTTTTTATAATTTGCGTTTATTAGCCAAAGTTAAACCGTTCTTAACAAACTCAGACTCTGAAAGAGTAATCCATGCCTTTATTCTATCACGGCTGGATTTCTGTAATTCTTTGTATTCTGGCATCACCGCCACATCTTTGTCTCGACTACAATCAGTACAAAATGCTGCGGCGAGGTTATTAAAAAAGGTAATGAAATATTAATCGATTACCCCTGTGTTAGTTTCTTTAAATTGGCTCCCAGTCCATTTTAGAATTAAATATACAATTTTATTGTTCGTGTTCAAATCTTTAAACAACCAGGCCCCATTGTATTTGGCAAACCTTTTAATCCCATATAATCCTCCTAGAACATTACAATCAGAGAATCAAAAATTACTTGTAGTGCCTATAACAAATCGCCTATATAAAGGCGATCGGGCCTGCGCTGTGATAGGGCCAAGACTTTGGAATGATTTGCCCCTGCCGATCTGGCTCCCAGTCCATTTTAGAATTAAATATACAATTTTATTGTTCGTGTTCAAATCTTTAAACAACCAGGCCCCATTGTATTTGGCAAACCTTTTAATCCCATATAATCCTCCTAGAACATTACAATCAGAGAATCAAAAATTACTTGTAGTGCCTATAACAAATCGCCTATATAAAGGCGATCGGGCCTGCGCTGTGATAGGGCCAAGACTTTGGAATGAGTTGCCCCTGCCGATCTGGTCTGCCAAATCACTGTAAATTTTTAAGAAACTGTTGAAAGCACATCTAATGTTGGTAGCATACAATGATTGAGGTGGTATTTTATATGCCGATGTGGTGTTTTATGTTGTCGATGTTTGTTTTAATTCTTGTACTTTTTATGTAAAGCACTTTGGTTCAACCTCGGTTGTGTTTTAAATGGTGCTATATAAATAAATAAACAAGAACAAGAACAAGAATTGTGCGTCCAGCATGTGTAAACTTATAACGTCCCATTTTTGGCACTGCCTATCAAAATCAAATGATGATGATGAACATAATGTTGAACATTAAATAATATTTTGATGAATGTGGGGAACAGTTTTTGGTCCCTATTGACTTCCACAGTATTCTTTCCCACACAATATTGAAAGTCAATGGCTACCATCAACTGTTTGGTTACATTCTTCAAAATATCTCCTTTTATGCTCTATAGAAGAAAGAAACTCATACAGGTTTGGGACAACTTGAGGGTAAGTAAATGATGACAGAATTTACATTTTAAGACTTTATTATCGGAATCACAGCACTAATAACATCAGACTAGGCAGAATGGGAAAATTAATCTTAAACAAGTAAATAATTTTATAATTACTGTATATAATCAGTTATTTTCTGCTATACATCTATATGAAACAGTATACTAAATGTCAATCGTGTCCACTAATCAGAAGAACATTTCAAATGACAAATCAAAATCTGTAGGCTACATCTATAAGGACGTTTGTCCTTGCATGTCTGTCAGGGTCTATTGTGTTTTAATTATCTGTTGTCCTTTAATTACTCTCCATCCTGAGATAACTCAAGTCATCTTGAAAGCAGCCGAGCGCAGAGAGAGTCCCGGTGTGATCCCATCAATCACAATGAATCAGAAACACGGCCCTGATCATCTGACCTTCACAGAGCTTCAGAGTCAGACGTGTTGTTGTGTGCTTGCGACCATATGGTGCAGCATTTGGTGAGTTCCTCTGTAGGTTGAAGCATCAGATGGTCCTGTCCTTGAGTAATAACATGCTCGAGCGGACGCTGATATCAGTGTAGCAGATCCACATGAGCATATACTTGAGTTATAGTGCCGTCACAGTGTAATCAATGTAGTCTGGCCCTCAGTGTAATGGTGACACACTCAATAGTGCGCTTGCTGCTTTTAGACTGAAGCCAGCTTCATTTCTGTGTGCGTGTGTGTGTGTGTGTGTGTGTGCGTGCGTGTATGCGTGCGTGCGTATTTTCCTGCAGAGTCTGAGTCTTATTCTTGAGTTTGGTTATGAAACTCAGATTCTGAGTCTGTCAGGAAGCATATTAGATATGGTTTTACACCCTAAAATAAAAATGGTCACGCAGTGAATCCTGTGCTACAGACCATCTGCATCTCAAGAGGGGGTGTGAGATACATGAACACACATTCACTCAATGTTGTATGCCAATATATCACACATCACAACCATTGTCAGGCAACATAAAAATGAGAACAAGTGTTTTATTTTTAATAATAATTTATTATGTTTTTAACGAAGTTTCTTATGCTCATCAAGGCTGTATTTGATCAAAAATACATTAAAAACCCTGTAATTTTGTGAAATATTATTGCAATTTAAAATTAATAGTTTCTATTTTAATATATTTTAAAATATAATTTATTCCTGTAAACCAGTGCTGAATTTTCAGCATCATTACTTCAGTCTTCAGTGTCACATGATCCTTCAGAAATCATTCTAATATGCTGATTTATTATCAATGTTGGAAACTGTTGTGCTGCTTCATATTTTTTTGGAACCTCTGATACTTTTTTCAACAATACAGATTGTGTCAAAGCAACTGTACAACATTAATTAGGAAAATAGTGTGTCAATAATGCAAAATGAAAATACTCAATTTTCAGTTAAAGGCATCATCCAGCTCAGTTCAGTTTAAATAGTATCTGTGCAATCAAGTCGACGATATCAAGTCAACGGTATCGCTGGAAATGAAGTGTCCCCAACTAAGCAAGCCAGAGGCGACAGCGGCAAGGAACCAAAACCCCATCGGTGACAGAATGGAGAAAAAATCTTGGGAGAAACCAGGCTCAGTCGGGGGGCCAGTTCTCCTCTGACCAGATTAAACCAGCAGTTCAATTCCAGGCTGCAGCAAAGTCAGATTGTGCAGAGGACTCATCTGGTTCCTGTGGTCTTGTCCCGGTGGCCGTCTAGAAGACAAGGTCTTCACTGAGGATCTGTCTCTGGGGCTCATGTAGTTGTCCTGGTCTCCGCTGACATTCAGGGCTGTAGAAGTCCTCTCTAGGTCCTGATCCACCATCTGGGCCGGATACAGACTGGATTCGGATGACTGCAGTGACCATCTGATCTGGATACAGACTGGATCTGGTGGTTATGGTGACCTCGGAATAAGAGAGAAACAGACTAATATTAGCGTAGATGCCATTCTTCTAACGATGTAGCAAGTACATCGGGTGTCAATTAAACTAATTAATCATTAATTAAAGACAGGAACCAGACCAAATAAGGGAACACTAGAACAGAAATGGGCAAAACACAACATAGACAGTCCAGAGAATCCTGACAACACTGAAGACTGGAGTAATGATGCTGAAAATTCAGCTTTGCATCACAGAAATAAATTATATTTTGAAGTATATTAAAACAGAAAACCAATAATATAAATTGTAATAATATTTCATATAATAATTATATATTTTAATATATATATATTATATATTAATAATAATAATATTAGTAATAGTATTATTTACTAAACAGACTATTCTTAATTAGTATTTTATGTTTTATTTACCTTTATACATTTCTTTCATCACTCATAGACTACTGCAAATCATGACATTTATTTATTTTAATAAAGACTTGATTATAATATTGCGGGGTAATCATAACTTACATATTAACCACTGTAATGTAAATACTCATTAATCATATATCCTAAATAATATCATTGCTTTACTATTGTTTTTTTTTTTTGTTAGCTGTCAGGAATAATTTTAAAGAAAAGGTATAAGAATTAACAGAATTATATTATGTTTTAACATTAATTTAATTAAATCATGTTCATTTGGCTTCATGCTGTTTTTTTTAAAGATTTTTAATTCAGTCATTTATATCATAACTATTCTTACAATTGCCAAGATAAGCAGTTTGTTACCTACTAGCAGCATTAGCACCTTTTTTAACACTTAGAGATAAAAAAAATAACTTCAGTTCAAAGGCATCAAAGACAACAACCAGAAATCCTAAAACTCAAGGCTTTTTTGTTAAATATCACGAATATCAAAGTGCAGGATTTCAGTCACACTTCTTCTCAGACAGAGACATTTTATTCTAGTAAGCATGTGCTGATGACGTGTCATGATCACTCTCAGTTGCAGAAAATCTCTTCGTTTGTCGATGATGTGAACCTGCATGTGCTGTGGTCGTCTCTGTGAAGGTGGAGCGAGTGTGTGTGGATCAGGCATGAGTGAGTAGCTTGTTACATCACTTTTACGGTTCATTGATGCTGCACTTTCTCATAGCTGTTCATTTCCCTTCGGCATACAGCTGTAGAAAACACAAATACACACGGGGAGAGAGAGAGAGAGAGAGAGAGA